AAAATACATGTTTACTGAAATTGATGGAGGACGTATATTGATTCTAAATGACGCAAATTTTATTTCATAGTAAATTATTTTCCTTTCTCCATAAAAAAAAAAACTTACACTACATCTGCATTAAATTAAATACATTTAAATAAATGTTGGTTATTTATCGGCGCGACAAAGAAAATTCATTTCTTGTACATTTTTTAGGGAAGGGTTTGGATGGATTTCTAAAAAGTTTTCTGAAGCTTTTATGCATTTTGACCATGAAATATCACAAAATGCCAAGAATAGTAATCAAAAACATCATTCCACGGGTTTTACTATAGTAAATAAAAGTATCAAAGTTTTTACTATAGTTAATCAGTTCCAAATTTTTATTCTATAGTAAATCAAAGTTCCACAGTTTTTACTTTGATACTATAGTTAACTATAGAAAACTATAGTTAACTATAGAAAACTATAGTTAACTAAAGTTTACTTTAGTATTTTTTGTTAGGGGCTTTCCCCCTTCCACTGTCCGTGGGTTTTACCAAAATCGTCTGTTCTCAGCTCAGGCCTCACTGTGTACGAAAATGCCACCATAATTCTTTAAATCGGAGAGAAGGGTTGCTTTAATTGCAAATATCAAAAGAGAAAGATGGTTTTCATTTAGATTGAGTCCATAGTTTGTATTTTACTGCTTCGAAAAGACTTTAAAACTGGATTTAGTCTGCGAATTATTTCCTCGTTTTAGTGGAGGAGTTTAAGTACATCGACTCGCATGCACGACTGGATATCGAGTTAGTATAACCATACGCAAACGTATATAAATGAATGAAGTTACATCTTTATTAAACAATAAATATTGTAATATAATTCAAATTATTATTTCAATGGCTGCAAAGTATTTTAATAAGAAACGGAGGTATTTGTGAGATCGACCCCGTGTAAATTCGGGCTGAGGTTGGTTCCCCTTTTCCTTTTTTTATATATTTAGTGATCACGTAAATTCAGCTCGAGTGTTTCAAGGAACACATGTCGCCTGTTTTATAACTTCATGCAAGATGTAAATAAATCTAAGATTGGTCAGCTATTTATTTGCTAAATATAGCATTATAGTTATGCCTGCAAAGAAAAAAGAACATCCACGGATAGTACTAGTAAGACTGCAATAGAATTGAAATGTCACAGTTGATATTTAATTTAATATTTTGTTAATAAATTATATTTGATTAGCGCATTGCTAATCAAACATTGCGCCGTCTGTGTGAATGAGTGCCATGTGTGAATGTTTTGTTTTGTCACGTGATATTTCTATTTTTAGTTTACAAACTGACCAGGTATACGAATACGACCAGTGGACCAATGACAGACCACTATTTGATAATTAATATGCATGTATACTAACTTCGTGCACTACATAAACGCTTATCCCGCCAAATCAAATAACTATTAGATTTCTACCTTTACGGTGTAAGAGATCCAAACTTTCATGTTACTTTTGAAGTCATCGACTTTCACGATGCCGTGATAATTATGTTTCATATTTTATAATACTGGATACCTGGTAAGATTTATTTTTAATGATGTAAATACTTATTAAACCAATTTCGATAATACGTAATTTATCTTTATTGGCAGCGACGAGAATTTTCATGTTGTGTAATTTGTAACTTTGTTTAATGTGTTGTATTTGTCTCTTGTTAATGTGTGTGTGTTGTGAGTGTGTTTTCTATATTTCTAGGTTTCATTTCTTTGTAATCCTCATTAAAACTTCATAAATCCGAATCCAGCGTTATATTCTTTAACGATGACCCTGTGACAGAAAGTCAAATAGAAATATGATTCTCCAACCCTAAATGCTAAAATAAATAATGATTTTTTTAAGTATTGCTAATCATTTCAATTAGTATCTCCAACAGGCCACCAAAAGAGATTTCAGACTGTCTTTTTACTGGATTTGCCAGTCTACACGATCAGTTTTGGAATAAAGATCCCGATGTATTTTCATAGCATTTAAATTTCAGCTTGTGTGGTAACTGTGTATCACGCAGTTTCAAAGTACAGTGTCATGAGCTCATAAATATGTATAAGTGCTAATTATCAAAATTATTCCTCTCGAATTTCAAAAAGATATGTTAATTTAAACCGACAAGAGTGCGTGTTGCAAAGTAGATCAAGGTTAAGTAGACTCTTACGCTGGTATTTTTCAAAATAATTTATGAAAACAGTGCACATGTTAAATAGCATAGACTTATCTCTTAAATTTAAGAGAAATATGTCGTGTTGGCAATATGAGTATGCTTGATAATTTTGAAAAGTGGGTCAAAGGTCAAGTACAAGGGTCATGAGGTCGATAAACATGGTATTTTACAAAAGCTATATTGCCAATTGCAAGCAATACATATGCCAAATATCAAATCCATAACTTTTAAAGTTCTCGAAATATGACAATTGGCAGACGGGGAGACATACAGAGGCCGGGTAAAGTGATACCTAAGAATTGCTCTGCTCTGCAGGTGACACACAAAAATAGTACATTGTATGTTACTGGCCCCTGTAGTTTTAGTTAACCTCTGTTTTGGTAAAGATAACAACAAGCCTTATTGTCTTATTGTCCCGTATGAATATAAAAATGGTTATTACAAATTCATGCATTTTTATGCGTCAAAATTATTTTATTTCCTTTCGATACACCTTAGTTATTACCTGATTTTAACCAATATTTTGCTTCTGCTAATGTAAACCGGCAATCTGTCCTGCTTAATGCAAATTCAAAGGGTTTTTCCAGGCAAACCTCGCTTAAAAGAAAACAAATACTTACGATGATTCTTCATTTTACATTTCAAAAAGTAAAGTTTGCATGTATATCTAGATGATTTTCTAGGGGAAACAGAATATTAACAAACATTATTTAATATAATCCAAAATTAATTTTTTTTAAAGCAGGTCTATAATTGCAACTTTTCTTTAATTTTGCAATTTCATTACAATTTCATTTTGAAATGCGATGGTCTAATATTTCTATTTCTTTTCTGCAAGTAATTTTTTAAAAAAAGATTTTATACGTAGAATATAACAAATATTGTTTTCCATATCAATTAATATTTATTTCTTTAAAAAAAATAAAATGTATACCTAACTCTTCTTAACTTATTAAATATATATATATATGTAATGTTTAAATTCACAACAAACTTTAAGCTCCAAAATGTCTTATTTGGAACACAAACAGTTTTTTTCCATTTTCTCAGAATAAACGCAAAAAATTATTTAAATAATTAAAAGCTTATATTTGTCTTTATACACTAAAATCATGAACCAGGGCTCTCCATAAGCCCGGCCCGGCCACGGTTAAATTGCCTAGTTCGCTACAGTTAAATCAAGGAACTGATACAGTACTGAAAGACGAGGTCAAAATAATTAACTTCATGATTTTTCAAATTACTGCATGATGAAAATTTGTTATAGGGTTTTGATACCAACTTCAATTTTTTTCTATACTTTTGAAATTAACATACATGAAACACTGAAAAATATATACCTAAGTATTTTATTTACTCTGTAATAGATAAATCAGTAATCACTAGTCAAGAAACCTTTCTGAATTGTCCGAATTTCACCGGGTCCGAATTAATATCATGATATTTCAGGAAGGTGGCAGAGGATAGTTTTCTTTAATGCCAAACATGTGCCGAGGGGGTACACATATACATGCGATCCATAAAAACATGTACATGGGGACAGTTTTCCAGGGGCTAATTAATTACACTTCATATGCCCATGGCTCACAAATTATGTCAACAAATTACATGTAATCTGCGTATTAGAGTGCACATGTACCAAAAATGCACCTGGGGACTCCCCAAATTTTGGCTTGTTTTTCCAAGATTTGGGCCTCATTCACACCCATACAACCCACCCCCAGGCCCGAGCGAGCAGGATAAAACACCCAGTAGTCTGTAAATCAATGCAAGCCCTAATAAAAATTCACCAATTGATATGGGGTCATTCACCTTCCCTCTGAGATACACACCTTCTTCTAAGGCCTACTGCTTTTCAGCTGAATTTCCTCTGCAACTGACCATGTGTCTTAGTTTCGCATTTACAACTCTGTATATGATAAGCGTCATAGTGACACCTACATGTTGCACATCATTTTTTTCAGCAAGCACTCTGCTACACTGCAAATGTGTCCCATAATTATTCTAATCATTTTTCTACATAAAATATCACATCAAACAGGGGATATCTCAATTTTTTAAGAAATTTGACCAGGTCTTTAGTACGAAACTATCCCCTGCCACCAAGAAAACAATCGAAGACGCGAACGCCGTCTTATATTACCCAGGCAAGTAGTTTGTATACTAGTGTGGTTCAGTATGATGTTTTTCACGTTTAAAATTTTCAGTATGCTTCATTAAATTAAGCAAAAAAAAATTAATCTTCATATCATCTCTTTAGATCTTTAGATCTCTTTCATTTAGCGTAGATTCAATTCATGTGTTCTACATACAACTTCTGTTTTTGAGGCTTCAACTGACAGTAAACTAATAGACGGGGTCACGTGACTCCGTCATAAAATCAGCATCATAGTTCCGCAACAGTAAAACAGCGCCACAGTTAGATCATCGTCAGTCAGGAAGAAAAATGTATAATTTTTTTAAAATCTCACTATAAAACTCTTAACTAAGTGACTGTTTTTTTCAGTTTCAAATGCTAAACGCGTTAATTTACTCATATATATAAGGGCCCATTGTTTGGCTTGGAGAATTAATTATCTTCTATGCCCTCTCTAGGCTTAAGCTTTGCGCATGAATGAAAGCAGACAAGTCATTTCTTTTCACACATCCTTGTGCACTGTGAACTACTGTATGTGTATCGTAATCATGTATTGATGTAATGTTGAAAAAGAACGATATATACATGTATAGATAGATTGATCCATTAATAATAGCATTTTATGAAACTGCTAGAATGTTTTTTATTAATTTACAACTTTTCTGATTCTTAAGTCATCTGACACTTATTATTGCAAATGTATTGATGAAAATTTGATTGCATGGCCTGCCAGAATTTCTTCTGCCCTTTAATTTATACTGTAGTTGTATAACTTACCTTTTGCAAACAAATATTATTTCTAGAAAAATCGGGGTTATTAATTTAAAACATGTTGTTTCTTGTACTAATATTTTTCAGACTCTATAAACTTACTTTCATTCATTTATAAGTACATATGTGTGGGGTTTTTTTTTGGGGGGGGGGGATTTCTTCTTTTTTTCACAGAATAAATATATCTGTATATTGGGAACATTCTAATTATTGTTTTACACCATGTTTTCCCGATATTTATTAAGTGTTTGATTATTAATTTTTCTTCTTTTTTTCTTAATTTTCAAAATAATCAATACCATTTGTATATAAGATTAGTGATTGAGAGGAGTTGTGTGTTTCTCATCGCGAATTCGGTTGCGAGAGACCGCGCGAATATCTGCTTTCGTTGAAGCCTGCGCAACAGTAAAATTTGAAATGATGGAGAACCCTGATAAGAGATACTTCAAACATTCATTCAGTATTTTTTTGGTGTGGCAAACCTCCTTAAATCCTATTTAGAATAAATTGTGTCAATATAGAATGTTTATATATACTACAATTTTCTCAATTATGCATGACGTTTACAAATGTTTTATTCCGGGAAAAAATTAGCCTATTTAAAACCATGTCTATTATTTATTTTCTTATGGATATGTCTAAATCCTGCTATTTGATTGGTCAGAGGGACAATTGCTGTGTCTACGTTGTGTTTTCATAAATTAGTAAAATACTGTTAGCATACAATGACCTCTATATATGGAAATTGTCTAGATCTGATTAATGTCCCAAAAATCTATGGTAGAGGTTATACAAATTCCTACCCTTAACGAAGTATTTACAATCTTTCAAAAGAACACTCATTTACCCTCTCAAGTATTATAAATCTTAGAATAAAACAGGAACATATTTTAATGTGCAGTGGTGAATGGCTTGATTTTTACGAAAACCAGAGAATAATCTTTGGATTTTTATATGGTTTTTTTTCTTTCTTTATTTCCTCACTATAAAATGTCAAATTTACTTACTGTGCTCCTGAAATACATGTATACCAGTAATATAACAGACTTCTATATCTTGTACACTACCAAAGAAAAAACCTCATCCACATTAATGATGCATAGTACTTTAACCATAAGAAATATTTCGTTAATATTTCTACTTCCAATTTTGTATACATACCTGTCAATATCATATGCCAAACAGCCATAATGAAAAATCATGTAAGTAAACAGCCCTGGAAATTAAATGTATGTTCTATAGCTTTGAAATTTAATACATGTTCTTCAAAAGAAAATAGGAAGACATAATGCGCTTTATTGAAAACTTCGAACTGAATTTTAATGGTGTAAAATACAGGCACTTGTTTTTGAAATAATTTTTTTTAACCCATGATATGAATATCAACACAAGTTATCTAATTCTGAATTACATGGAGTACTCCCCGGAATATCGCAGTCATTAACACTTTCAAAACTGATTATTACCATTGTCTTCTACGATAATTTATCTACACAACCATATATGGCATGCTTGTCTTCATTTTCAAAGATTCTGATAAACAGCGTCAAAGCTCACCGACTGGAAAATGCTTACAGGTTACAAATTTTATCCCTATTTAATTGACAACGCAAGTAGTGCCAATTAAAAATAGAGGTATTTTCTTACAAATTCTTGGGGATGAATATAAGTTGGAATGGGGTAGTTTTAGGGCATAGATGGAAAGGAGACGATCTGAAAAAAGTATAAAATTGATAAAAATGGGAAAATTTGCTTTTAAGTGCGTAGTAGGAAGATTGTAACGAGGCCCATGTTTACCCTTTTCTTGAAAGAAAAGTGAAATAATCAAAGTATGGGTTACCTGCAATGCCATAACAGACTGAATATTCCTGAGAGCCTAAAGAGAAAATTTGGACTTGACTTGTTCTAACTCTGTGCCAAGTTTCAGGTGAGTTGAGCCGGGGTGTTGAAAAATGAACCCCGGGTCAATTTTCAACCCGAGTCAATATTCTACTTACACCGGTGTGATTTTTTAAATTGATTTTTACATTATAAAGGACATCTTCGCCAGCCAAGGGTTTCGGACCCACTGTTCTCCTCAAAAACCCTTGACCTATGGTGCTGTTAAAAGTCGGGATCTATGAGGTGAGGTGTCAAATAAAGAGTTAAAGGAACTTTTCTCTAATCTAATACAGAAGTTGGAGAGTTCAATGAACGAGAGGCTTACTGCGCTTGACAAAAAAGTTGAGGAAACGCTGATCGTTATTAAGGAGGAGATAACTGATATGAAAACAGCGCTTCAAAACCAAGATGACCGATTAACTGATTTAGAAAAGCTAAACACAGAGGTTATACAACCCCAAAGTAAAAAGGTAAGCCTTCTTGAGGCTTCTTTAAAAGAACTGCAAGATCATATTACATACCAAGAGTTAAGATCTCGGAAATACAACCTCTTATTTTATGGCATTCCTAAAGCAGAGAATGAAGTTTCAAACGAGGTTATTGTGAACTTTTTGAGTGAAAAATTGGGCATGTCAACAGCAGAGTCTATAATGATTAAAAACTCTCATAGGGTTCCAAAAAACCCCAACAGCAGTTACAAACCTGGAGCACCAGAAGCAGTCATTGTTAAATTCGTTCTTATGGAGGACCGTAATATGATACTAAATCATGCCAGAAACACTACCCTACCGAAAGGCTATGCAATACGAACAGATCTACCCGTGCATTTGAAGAGAAAGAGGACAGAACTGGCTCAAAAGGCATATGAACTCAGGAAATCAGGAATGAAGACGAGAATCCGTGAAACGAAAGACGATGTGATTCTGGAGTATCGACAAAAAGGAGAAAAAGAATGGCTCGCTTTTAGTGATTCCTTCTAATTGATCTAGATAAGAACAAGATTATTTGCAGGAGATGACAGGTTGTAGGAGTATGATATGGTGAAGGTTTTGTATATCTGTAAAGTGCTGAGTTATGCTACAGTTGGTATCGTGTTGTTTACTTGTCAAATAATAAGTATGTTTTAGATGCTATTAGAAAGATATACTAAGGTATGCTGCAGATGTTTAAAAGTAAAATACCAGTGTTTTGAGCTTTGGATGATATCTGTAAAATTCAGAGTTATGCCTTAGTTGTTAATAACTTGTAAAATATTGAGAAGTTTTGGTATCGTTATCTGTGAACTACTGTGTTATGTCATAGTTGATAACTTGTAACATATCTACATGTAGTATGTCTCAGGATATATATTTGTTTGGCAGCTTATGGTTTGCTGTATAAATTACATGGGGACATATTGGTTTTTTCTTTTTAATGTAATAAATACCCAAATGTCAACAAAGATTACAAAGATTACTGGTAGAAGTTCATAGAGGAGCTTGTATTTATTATTATTTTTTCTATGAGAGAACTACGGTTCACTATCTTATTTAGGTGGCTAAGTTAAATTAAAAAGACCCAATGCGATGTAATACATGAATTTTCTTGATTTGTTTTGTTACCATACAGGAAGTATTTTTCATTTTTGATATATGTGTGAAAGAATGGAGAGTATGCAACATGCATATTTTTTTGCCTTTATTCAACTGTGTAGTGTAATCTATGACTAAGTTAAAAATTACTTCTGTAAACTGCAGAGGTTTACATGATTCTATGAAAAGAAAGGATGTCCTAAACTATTTAAGAAATTTTAAATCATCTATTTATTGTTTACAAGACACCCACTGTACAGAATTAGAGAAAAATTCAGTTTATGCCCAATGGGGTAATGACATACTCATCAGCTCAGGAAAATCAGATGCAAGAGGGACTTTAACCCTTTTTAATAACACAAATGAAATAAAAATTTCTAAAGTTTATAGTGATAATGAGGGGAATTTCATTATATCAAATATAATGGTGGATAACAAGTACTCAATCACTTTGGTTAATTTATATGGTCACAATAAAGATAATCCTAAATTTTATGCAGAAATAAGTGATAAAATGGATGATTTTTTTGATACTGACTTTATAATTATGTGTGGAGACTGGAATGTAGTACAAGATTACCAGTTAGACTGTAACAATTATGTTAGAGAAAACAATCCCAAAAATAAACTTGAAATTGAAAAATTAAAATCAAAATTCAATTTAGTAGATCCTTGGAGAATCAAAAACCCAGATGCTAAAAAATATACATGGAGTAGGAAGAACCCAGTAAAACAGGTTTTATTGATTGACTTTGAGAAAGCATTTGACTCTATTTCTTGGAGATTTATTTTTAAAGTACTCAGATTTTTTAATTTTGGTGAGAATTTTTTAAAATGGATAAAGATTTTGTAAACAATATGATTTAAAAACACCTTTTACAATGTTTTTAGGCATAACAAATTGTATTAGAAAATTACAGTTGAATTATGATCATAAGATAATTCAAAGAAATCAACCTTTCTTCCCAAAATTCTTACAAACAATAACAAAAAGCAAACAAGGTGCAAGAGATTTCTATGATGTTTTTATTAGTCAGAAATACAAAAAACCAAAAAGTGAAATGAAATGGGAAAACATTTTAGAACTTAATGTTGATGAATTTTGGTGGAAAAAACAAAACATTCTGTTTTTTAACATAACAAATGATATACAGTTAAGATGGTTCCACTATAGAATTGTACATAGAATTTTAGCTACAAATACATATTTACACAAAATTGGTGTTACTGACTCAGATTTATGTAGTTTTTGTAAGAAACACCCAGAGACACTTTGTCATCTTTTTTGGGAATGCGAGTGTGTTGCAGAAATTTGGGAAAATGTACTGGATTGGATGAAAGAACAGTTTGGAGTTGATATATCTCTAAACAAAGTTGATGTTTTGTTGGGAAAACATTATAAATATAACAATATATTTAATTTAGTAGTATGTATAATAAAAAAGCATATTTATAGAAATAGATGCAAAAAATGTGTACCATCTTTTGAGAGGGTCAAACAAGAGGTTATGTATTATTTTAATTGTGAAAAATATATTTATAAGAAAAATGGGGAAATAGACAGTTTTAAAAAACGATGGAATTTGATAATGTTTTAATATGATTAATATATTTGAAAAAAACAATGCAGTTACAGATGTACATCAACTTTTCACTGATTATATTAAGATTTCAGCTGTTAAATATTATTATAAATATAATCATATGCATGTTATGTAGCGAATGGTGTGTGAATGATATGTGAAAAAAATGTCCTGTCACATTATGATTGTGTAATATATATGTGTATTATGTATGTTACTTAGTGAACCCAGGGCCCCAACCCTGGCACTATTATATACTTGGACATGTGATGGGGCAATAAATAAAAAAAAAAAAAAAAAAAAAAAAGTCGGGATCTATTTTGTCACGTGATCCCGAATCTTACCACACACGCACGATTGCGTCATCGATAGAAACAAAAAGTGATTTTAAGAATAAAAGTATTTATAGAATAATTAAAAAGCAACTATCGAGCGATGTTTATTTGTTATGTAAGGTGCAAATCTAAATCTATGATATAGGTTCGTGATCACATTATGTGCACATCTGCTTGAAGTTAGATGTCACCATAGCTAATTATAGAATGGCACATCATCTCACGGAACGTTGTTTACTTGCGTTATTCATTCCCTACTAAGAAAGACTAGTAAGAGTCAAGATACTGTAAAACAACTTTTATCTGCTTGCAAGAAATATCCGTGAGTTTCGCGACCTTCGTTTCTTTGTAATTTTTTCTCGTCGCGAACCAATTATTTACATGTTTTTATTAAATGTTTCCTTAGTCGCAAAAATTAGTAAATGCAGATGAATTCCTAACTGACGAATCGCGAAAAAAGATATCGCGAATAATAGTTCATTTAGAGTATATCCCGAACGGAGATATCGTAATTTACAAAAACATTAACTGATTGGTGAAATAATATCAACAAAAGACTCCAATCACAATTCGAGAAAAAAAATCCTGACTTTTGATAGCACCATAGGCCTAGGGTTTGTGAGTAGCGGATCAGAAACCCTTGGCTAGCGAAGATGTTTAAAGGTAATTGATAGTATATGTCCATATGACTTGTACTAATCTCTGACGTAATATGTTCTCGTGTTTTGATTGGTTAAAAAAACTGTTTTTAAAATTACATGTAATAGTTATTATATATTTATTATGGTGTATCCTGATTTATTTGGACGAAGGGCGGTGACGAGTGCGAAGC